ACAATGGCCTAAGGCCGCGTTCATACATGATGCAGACATGCAGAACCACGGAATGTGCTGAACTGCGGAATTTGCATACGTGTGGAATCTGCAGAACTGCGGAATTTGCAGAAAGGAAATATATACGTATCGATCTGAAAACTGCATTTCTTCAAATTCCGCGGAATTTGCCGACATGCAGAAATGACGGAATGATAGGGATCGATTGGTTCTTCCCTGCCGTCGTGCGGAATTGGGAGAAATGCGGTTCTGCAGATTCCACACGTCTGCAAATTCCGCAGTTCTGCACATTCCGTGGTTCGGCATTTCTGCATCATGTATGAACGCGGCCTTAGGTCCGATGCTTGTCTGTGAAGTCGAAATTGAGATCTTTGAAAAGATACTATAAATCAAGGATTCTCTGCAAAAGTGTATCAAACTCAATGGCAAAACTGTTCATCTTTAGCGCGATATTTCGAGTGAGAAAAAACGTCATTACTTATGGCCAACCCAATAATTCTGGGGCATGGCCAAGTAGGAGCGGAGAGGGGGGGGGTATATAGCACAAAACTTTCAGTCCAAATTCTCTCAATCCAAAGAAATGCGGCCGAAAGTAAAAGTGATGAATCTTGGGAAAGATGCCCAGAAAATCATCCAGTAGTGACCCATGGACCAATCGAGAAGTTATAATTCCGATATTGAACTGATATTCCACACCTGCGTTCAAATGGTTATATTTTTTTAGTTTTGCTATTGATTACCATTATTTATTTACATACCCATGGGTTTGGGTGTACACAGACAATCTCACAGAGCCTAGTGAAAAATACGATGCTGAAAATGCCGATGCTCAGAAATCCACTTTATTGTCTAGGTTAGTGGTCCGCAGCAAAATACACCACGTGACAGAGCTGCCCTCGTAACAACTCAGGCTAGCGCGGAATATCTACATACCAGAACGTTGAGCCTAAACAACATTTTTCTCAAAAATTCGCTCCACTTGACAATCAGTATAGCTTATAGCACAGCCATTACGTTAGTTAATACCAAGGTTTTCTGAATTTCCGCTATAGTATGACTGAATGACTTCAACTAATGACTTTGAATTAGCTTAAATTATTGTGATTTCTTTAATTTTATAGGCAGATTACACTGACCAACACTAACTATTACGAAAACTCAATTATCCCCCCCCCCCCCAAATTGCTCTTTACAGCATTCACAGCACAGCAGAAAAAATTCCTTAGCTATGAAAGCGGGAGTGTGCTGCACAAAACGTGGTCATCAATGTCGATTTTCCATTTAGTTCGTATCAAGCTTGAAATCCTACAGACGCCACAAAGTTGGAACGGCCACTACCTTCTCAAAAACTCTGTACTCGCCGAGCGGGTGCCCATTAAAAGCAACGGAACAAGGCTGCACAGGATGGATGAAGCCGATTTCTGAACTTGTCCACACGAATCTTGAAAATGAGCGCTAGAATTTCACATTCCTTGCTAGCGACCACTCACCGATTCTAAGGAATCCGCGTCCAAACTCCTGTCAATTTCTAGTCTTACTCATTGCTAAATCAGGCGTTTTTTGACCCTTAGCAGTTTACTTGAAAATTGTTTGATATCTCCGAGGATCCCGCTAACTTGAAGACGTCGTACGCAACTTCGAACATTTGCAGGCAGCGCTATGCTGCCAAAAAGCCATACGAATAGTCTACCATATCCCCGCACCCCCGCACTCGATAATTCTCACACTAATAAACATCCCCAATATAAAAAAATTTTACGAACCATGCACATTTCGCCCCCCCTGATGTTCTAATGCTATGACCCTGCACACCTTTGCTAAGCTCCACCTACTCTGAACCATTACATGCCCTATTTTAGAGAGTGGCTAACTAGGAAAATAGGTTCCACGTTGGACAACAAATTTTCAACTATAATTCGTGGCCTTTGTATCACAGCAACGCGCCGGGTTATTTCAGGCCCACCTTTGCAGACTCTTGTAAAGCTCCTTCGTTTATTCACCAAACTAGGGCTCTTTTAAGTTGGCCTTAGGCAAGAGTCCTCATTCTCGTAACTCCCAATCTTTTCTTTACGATTTCCAGCAAGGCCACTCAATATTCGAAAACAGGAAATGGTGCGGGAACCAAGCTGCAGCATCAGCAGTTTTAAAGAATCCGCAGCTTACTGGACTTCACAGAATAGCCAATAAGCACGAAAGGAAATAAAGAGTTGCCCTGCGGCATCAAGAGTATTAGTTAGAAATAAGTAATCACAACATATAATTCGCTGTAGTTTTCCACCAATACAAACCTCCCCAAAGGTGATTCCAGGCAAATTTACGCATCCAGTTCACTACACTGTTATTGTACGTAAATTTGATTGCCTTATTGGCAGCCATCTGAAAGAAAACAATACAACAACGAAGAAGTGAAAAATGTAGTCGAGAAATATGCAGTCTGTCTGAAATTTTACGGATGAATACGAACAAGAGGAGATTTGTCATAGACCTTTTATACAACCACAATAATCTGCACACCAAAATAATAATGCGGTTAAATAAGTAGGCTGACAAACTAAATGATGTACTAAACAATGATATACATTACAGCATTTTCTCAAATCGAACGAAAACCAGGCATATTTCAAGAATTTCGTCACAGACGAGCAAAGGGCGGTCTGATTTACTTAACTACCGTCATGTTAAATGCGAACGACGCATTTACATCACCTGTCTGCAAAATGACGAAGAAAAAAATAACAGAATAGAAGAGAGAGAAAAATCCAGGAAAAAGGAGGATTATTTCATTTTTGGGTGGGAAGGGATTTTCTGTGATTGCTGAAGAAGTCTACATTATTAGAAATCTTTGAGTACAAAGCCACAAGAATGTTGCTGAGTAATACCAAAGCATTTGAGGCCAATTAGTTTTGCTTATTATTTCTTCTTCAATTGATCAAATCTTCTGGCCAGTTCGTCGAAATCGAGGTCGCCACCAGTTCCACCACCACCACCAGTTCCGCCGGTATTACTGCCGCCAGCGAATGTACTTGGTGGTTCTGGGAACGTTAGCTCTAAAAAATAGAGAAGTGAGTCGAATACGAGTAAAAAAAACTCCAAGAGAAGCCAAGTCGATTGAGTTCGTCTTTAACAAAATATCCCCGTAACAGAGTTCAGGACGCTTTCCACGCTCATGTGGGCGGAGCTATGCACACACCTTTCTTATTGGTATGCCCCTCCTCTCTGCCATCGTAGAAGGGCCCACCACAGAGAAGGACGCAATGGAACGGGGGGGGGGGCTAGGGGTGCGCCCGATACGATCGCCCTCACAAAGCACGATTGCTGGGGGCAAACGGTTGTTGCCAACGTCACTGGTGCAACAGCTGCGCGAAGGCGTTTGGCCACACTCCCCTCAGCCCTTCCACCAATGACAACGGCAACAACCGCCCACCCCCAGCGATCGAGCCCACTGCTCTTAAAAGGACTACATTTGACTATTTGAAAACAAAAGGTTTTACAGCTGACCGTTGAGAACAGATAGTCGAAGCGGGTGCAGCACTAAATACAGGGTGCTGATAAGCTTGGAGGGGCATTGAAAGGATTCCTTTTGCAAAATTGGGTTTACCATAATTGGAATTGGTTATCGGAGCCGCACCCAGCTCTTACAGTGGCTGTAATACCCACTAATGAAGAGTGGGAATAAATGAGAATAAAATTTTGGCATTAACTGGTCTAATGGTAAGCCCGAAGATCAATGTCAGATTTATTCACATAACAGAGGGCATTGACAACATCGGCCATGATTAAAACCAAGGACAGGACAAAAGACATAAAAATGGACACTTCAAAGGTATAACACAGGAATGCTAAATAAAACAGAGGGAATTTTAAACAAGAATAACATCACATTATTCGATAGGGTGGGAAGGAGCGACGGGGACGGAGGGGAGAGGGGTAGGGGGTTTAAAACAGAATTTCAGTGGCTTTGCCTCATTTCGTCTTTCTTCATGATCAATTTGCTCCACTTTACCACGAGTGAAGGCGCCTTTCATGGTCCTGTTCGCTGAGGATGAAGGGGCGTGTCAAGACCGAGTAGGCGCGCCGCCAGCCCGTTCCGCACCAGCTGTTGGAGCAGATAAGCGACAACAACTATTGGAAAACGACTGATCCGAACGATATCATATAGACTTGTTGCTTTGGCAAAAGAAACGAAAAATCAGGCGATCCCTATAGGCCCTGACAATAAAACTACGGCATCCAGGTATTCGCGGCGTGATCAATCCGCTTTGTGGGAAGCGGTCAGTGCATCTACACTGTCCAATGTCAGAAAGCGAGTGGCTACACCTGAGATGCCATGTGACGCCTTAACTCCGTCCTAGCAATCCGAGACGAAGTCTGGTTACCACTATTACGGTCCTGTCCCGCCTGCGGTAAAGGCTGATCTGGGTCTGGGCGATGCACGCGCACCCCACTCTCGACACGCCTCGGCCTCGCGCCACATGGTAAGCGCGCTCCCAACCTTAGTGCATGGGTGACAGTGAGTTTCCGAACTCCCCGCGCCCAGGGGGGGCACGATACTTGTCAGATTTATAACGCAAAGGAGTGAGTCAGATGACGATTGTGAAGTTGCGGTAGTGCCAAACGCCAACAAACTACGTTTCCTGGTGAAGGATTGTTTGGAGTCCAAGAAACGAGTTCTGTTGAGTTATCTAACAGAATTGGCAATGTAAGTAATATTAAGTGTTGCAAAAATAGTGTCGCACCTCCACTCAAAACATCCGGAAGTTCGCTAGACCAATACCCTAAGCATGTTGGCATGTCTCTGTGGCACGATGGCAGTTACATTTATTGGCACTAGCAATATGAACAGACGAGTAACGCCTAGTGGACTGGCCTCTTGAAAGAACGACAGCAAAGGAAAATCGTTTGAAAGAACGCCTCAAGATAAGCCTTTCTTATTCACGAGTGAGTTGAGTCTAAAGAGGCGTCTCAAATGTCACGGTGCAGGTTACCTGGGCTGATGAGTATCCCACCTTCTTCAAGTACTCACGCCGCTTCCCATACACTAGGCAGGAGTTTTCGCAAGCGCCGCTGTTTTGAGTTTCAATGGTGGATCACTTCAATCTGTAGCGAGAAAGTTGCAGAGAACGGTACGGCGACACAACTTGATGTGAGAAGGAACTATTCTTCACAAGTTGCCCAAAAGTGGTAACCGCCATGCGCTCCTTTAGTCGGGCGCCCATGTATATTATAAAAGATGATCGGTCTCTCCATTCCAAGGTAGGCGTTCGGGTCCGCCCACCATCTGAAGCTCCAGGGTGGGTGCGACGGGGGTGCGACTTGCAGCTCGCACAAATGTTTTAGTCTGCAGGCTTTGCAATGCAACGCAGCCAACATGCGCTGGTCAGTCGGCTACTGGCCCGAGGTTACGATGTTGGATGGCTTTATCCACTTTTCCAGGTATGTTTTGGTTCCTACCGATTCTAGTACCGCTCAGTAGCCACTGCGAATACTAGCTACCAGGTCTTTGTTCGGCAGAAGCGTGCCAAGGAGACTGGCGTTTGGCGGAAACGCCAAGACCGGTGTTCTCGACCAAGCACGCGGAGTGGCGGGCGAGAGGCGACTGGTGAGAAGAGAGTTGGCGGTGCCAAGGAAAGAAGCCCAGGCATGATGACAGAACGCCCTACGCGCGTCCGAACAAGCTGTCTCTACCGTTGAGTAAGTGAAGACAGCGGCAGCGCACGGCAGTTCTTGCAACAGTTGCTGGCGGCTCAGTGGCTCCACTCGGTTCAAAAAGGCAGCCCTTGTCTGCGCTCGGATCCATTGCCACTTCCACAGACGTTCTTGCCTTTGTACACCAGCCTACTTTCCAGGTTACTTCTTCGCCAACAATCGGTCACGACCGCTTCTGGTCAAGACTCGAATGGAAGGTGGAAATGTGATGTATTCTAGACTCCGAAGAGTGAGTAGTAAAGAGTAAATAGTGCTGGACAACCCATAAAACTATTTCTCGATTGGAAGCGGAACTAAATGCCGGGCTTTGTAACTACACTCGGGATCCTTGAGATGGGGTAAGCATGGCTAATCGTGGCGACGACTGTTTTTATTTTTTTTTTTGTAAGATATTTTCATTCTGACACATCTGTGGTCATTTCCCTGTCCAATATAGGATAAGATGACAGTTGCCTGATAGAGTGTACATATGGCGCTATCTGCACACAAAAGGTACTGCCAATGGATTCCATTCAATGACATCACTTGGCTCGCGTCCTAGACAATTCATCTTCCGTGGCATGACCAAGACCCATGTCGCTAGTGAGTGACATCTTGTCTTCTGCTTAATTAGTAACCGACTTAATCATGAATTCTGTTGTGCATTTTTAGCCAGAAATTCATTCTCACCCAGAATAGCTCTTGCTAGTGGAATTAATAAACAACTAAAGTTTACAAGTGATGTCATCAATTGAGCAACAGAACAACATCTACTCCTCGGACTATTCATCTGAATCAAAGGCACACTATACGCCTGCGAAGACGACATTTTCCATGAGCGAGTTAATAGGCCGGCAACAGGAAGGTACCCCATTCACCACTTGAAAGCACATGGCAAGGAAGCTGGATAGTTTAGATGGGTGGAAGTTCTTCAAGGCTGCGTTCATGCTTTCCGACTTCAGCGATTTAGACGCACGACTTGAGAGTCGGGCGACGCGACCGTCCACGCTTCAATGCTGACATTTGTCCACTGCAATTGATAGTTCAATCAATTTAAGATGGAACTTTCTTCGGTCGCTGCAGCGACCCTCAAAGTGCGGTCACTTGCAATGGCGCGACTGAATAGCTCGAGTCACGGAAGATGAACGCGGGCAGAGAGTGCATGTGCTGCACGTTAAGTAAACGTTCCAAATCTGGGCGAGAAAGCCCGAGGAGAAGGTGAAACCAAATGCGCTTGCAAGCAAGCAAATAACCTGCCGGGCTATGGCTAGGTGCAGACGACTAGTGCAGCGTGTTGCGTGTGTGGCGTACTTTGCGTGGTGCCAAAGTCAAAAAAGAACATCCAGATATCTGCAGCTCCAGCTTCACTACCACGCACCTCAAAACGGTACAAGTGAACCTTGCAAGTGAACGTGCAGCCTGTCTTCAAAGGCTTACTCCACGACTAGCCAAGAATTCCTTCTGCGTAAAAAAATACAGGTCTCCGAAGTGGTTGCACATTTTTTTGGCCCGAAAAATGATGAGTGGGGGTTTATGCGTATATCTGTCCATGTCTTTCATAGTGGAAACCGTCGTTTGACCGATACGATCTGCTGCGGTGGAATGTAGTCGAGAAATGAAGCGACAAAGGGGTTGTAAAATAGAGGACAATGAAGGGGCAAAAGGTTGAGGATACAAGTCTGCTAAGGGGG